TGCTGATGGTTTGTGGTTCACAAGAAAATTTTGTGCCTGGTTTTCCTTAGCAGGACTTTCCATTGTGGAAAATGCTGACAAGGTGGCTCAGAGTGGGCCTTTTGGTCTGCCATCATTCTGTCCTGCTGGCTGTGAGAACATTGACACCGGCAGTGCAATGTTGCAGCTCCGGAAGTCCGTTCAGTGCACTCTGAAATGTGCAGGAAGCTGCCAGGGAATGTTCCTTGTGGCTTTCCAAGCCGGATCTCACCTCCCTAGCCCCAACCCAGGCTTTGCCCTTGTTTTGGGAAACAAGATGATGTGTTTCCTCTCAGTCAGAGGCTGTAGGGTACCAGTGCTACTGCAGCCAGATCTGCCCAGCTCAGCTCTCCTCCCCAGCCACAGCACGTTGTGTCCAGTGCTTTGTCCTTCTCTCCTCCGTTGTGTCCAGTGCTTTGTCCTTCTCTGGAAGCCTGGAGAGCTGAGTTCCCTTTCTGGCTCTGCTCTTGGATGGCCACCAACTCCATGTCCCCTGGACCTCAGGCCGAGGACAGGATGGAGACTGTACTGGAGTCAACAAGGTGACACCAGTATGGTTCCTGCACCAGCTTTGCACAAGCTGGGCTGAAGGGTGCTCAGGGCTTGCTCCTTGAGGAGCAAGGACCGTCCTAGGTTGGAGCACTCTGTGCTTCCCCACCCTCAGCTAGAATAATTTTGCCCTTTTCTAACCAGAATTTCCCTTGCTGCAGCTTGTGCCCTTGCCCTGGGGCCATGCTGGGAAAGGATCTGGCTCCCAGCTCTCCCCAAATGCTACTTTGGACATATGGCTTGGACTCCCATCCATTGCAGGGTCTGGGAGTGGGTTACCTGCCCACCTCTGTGGTCTGGCACAGGCATTGGAAAGAGGAGGCTATGGAGACTGCACAGGTGAGGGATAGTGAGGGAAGTGCTGGGGGAGAGCCTCAAGGGGCACGTGTCAGGAGTGTCCTCCTTGGCCCTCTTGGGTCGCTCTTTGTAGGATTGAAGAAAACAACAGTTAAATCTCTGAGGATAAAATGAATAATTCATTGTCCCTTGGAACAGCACAGCCAGGTCTGGGTGACAGGAACATGTGAGTCCTGGCTGAACTCATGCATAAAGAGACACTGGAACATGGAGCAGGAGCCCGGGAGGCTGCCCAGGAGAGGAAATACCTTTCCAAGGAGCACACAGTTGGCCTGTGGAACCTATCCCTGTCATGCTTCCATTGAAGCTGAGAGCTCAGCAGGAGCTGGACATTTTTATGGATGATGAAAGCTGCAATAAAAAGGAGTTTTTTAAGCTTTGGCAAGGGTAGGAGCCCTTGGTCTTTGAGTCCAGCCACTTCATGGTCGTTTTGGGAAAGAAACCTGCTTGGGACGCCAAATCCTTCCCAGTGTTGTCTCTCAGCTGCCTTGTTCTTCCTGATGGAGGATCCACAGCTGGTCCTTTCTGCAGGGAGGTGACACTGACCAGTGCTGAGCTGGAAGCTGTGTGCCCAAATGACAGCAGCTCTGCATGCAGGCTTCAATCAGGATCACATCTGTTTTATTTTCTACTTTACATCACATTGCTCTGCATGCCTCAGCCATTCCCACGTGTATCCCAAACCAAATCCGGGCTCACAGGAACTACAGCCTGCCCTTGTCCCACAGCTGTGCCAGCCACTGTAGATAAATGGACAGCTCAAGAAAGCCTTCTCAGAGGGGGTGTGGAGCATTCCCAGCTCCTGCCTCCTAGCCCCACAAATATTGAAAATCCCGCTCCAGTCACCCTGAATTCCTCTCACTGGATCCAGGAAGTCTCCAGCTACTGCTTCCAAGCCTCCTCCTTATTCCTCTTTTGACTCAAAGGCCTGGCCTTGTGCTGTAATATCTGCCCCAGAGCTGTGTCCTAGGAGCTCAGCGCTGCTGCTGCAGGGGTCCTGGGCACTCACTGCCTTGGCCCCCTGGTTCTCCCCAACCCCACAGCATCCCTGTTCCCCAGCACTGGCTACTCAGGTGCTCAGGCCACCTGCAGGTGATCCTCATCCCAGCCATGCCAGTGGCAGAAACAGCCTTGGTGGCACCATGTAGGGCTTTGCCCCTTTCCTGGAGCACTATGTCACCCCACCTGAGGTACAACACTACATTTTAGTGCCTGCTGGGCCCTGCAGCTCCAACAGCACAAACCACTGCAGCAGTCTTGGCATCTCCGTGGTCTTTGGCGTCTTCATTCCTTCGCATTTCCAGAAAGAGTTCAGGCTTCCAAGTGTCTGGATCCCTTTACTGGGAGCTCATTTTCTTTGAACCACTTTGCAGACCAGTCTGCCCAGGGAGCCGAAGTATCAGCATCCCTTGGCTGTGGTTTATTACTTCCTCCTCTGGAGCACTGAGTGCAGAACAGGAGCAGGATTCGGGTGCAAACATGTCCCTTTCTGCTGCTGGAATTGCATATTGTGGCCCTGGAGCAGGAGCAAGGCTGTCCTGAGGGAGCAGAGACACAAGAGAGGATGATGGTGGGATGGTGGTGGGCATCACCCCCTCCCAGGCAGCAGCAGCTGCCTCTGCCATCTGCCCTGGCTGGAAGGTGCCAAGTTGAATTCCCCTTTCTCTGCCCCCTTTCCCCATCACTTCCCATGGCAGCATCCCAAGATGCCAGTGCCACAGCCCTGGCTCTACCTTACAATGTTGTCTTCATGTGATAATAAAACAGATTATGAGCTGCTGGGATTTATGATCTCTGGAAATTTCCCTTCAGGCACTCTGAACTCCCAGGCAGGTGGTAAATCCTCCTGAGGGATGCACAGTCAAGAGCTCTGCATTAGCAGCATGGGGGCTTTGTATTCTGTCCTTCCCTGGGAATAAATCTCTCCCCGCTCTCTCCCACACTACAGGTCTCTACAACTCCATGGACAGCTGGATGATCGTCCCCAACATCAAGCAGAACCACTACACAGTGCATGGGCTTCAGAGTGGTACCCGCTACATCTTCCTGGTGAAGGCCATCAACCAGGCAGGCAGCCGGAACAGCGAGCCCGCCCGGCTCAAGACCAACAGTAGGTGCCTGGGCACTCACATGGCCGTGGCTGGTGTTGGGGGAGAGTTTCTAGGTCCAAGGCATATGGCCGAGCACTCCTGACGAGCCCTCAGTGGCTGGCAGTAGGATGGAGACCCCGGGTTAAGTTATTGAAGCGCCTGTCTCCCTGGGTGCCTCCACTCCTTCTCTGCCTTAGGGCAGGATGGTCACCCTACGTGATGCCAGAGGCTCCCATCAGCCCTCTGCTCCTGTCAGCGCCCATCCTTGGGATCTTAGGAGGTCATGAAGGTGAAGCCTTCTGGTTGCTTTACATCCCTGGGCTTTTGGGGCCAGTGCTTGGAGTCCTGGGGCAATTTTGTGCTTGTGTGTGTCTGAGCTCACAGAGGGTTGTGGTTTTAGGGAGCCATAAGGAGGTTGAAAAGTGTCTCCGTAGTGGCAAATGAGGCTTCGCAGCCACACACCGAGCAGAAGTTGTGCTTTCCAATGCCTTGGGGACACCAAGGAGGCTTAAATATGTGCGGTGGACTCATCCTGGCGTGGATAGAGCTGGGTTTGTGGCAGGAGGCCTTTTTCCGACTGAAGAGTGGCAAAGACGGCAGAACCACTGACACCCACAGCCTGAAGGGATGCCATGGGAGGGACAGCATGAGATGTCAGGGGAGGAAATAAGTTGGCACTCTGGGCTCCTGCGCACTGGCTGCTTTGTGCTCACATCTCTCCAGTGCTCCCTTGTGTCTGCCCAGCCCCAGCAAGTACAGCCCTCTCTTCTATCCCCTTTCCCAACAATTGCTCTTGCCTGGACAAGGCTTTCAGGTTGATTTATCACCTCCACCTCCTCCTTTTCTTTGCATGACATTAAACTGGATTAAATGGACTCAAGGCAGTGGGGCTGAGGGAGCTGCCGAGGAGAAAACTCCAACCCAATCAGCCTGTTTATTAAATATTTACCCCTCCTGTGGCTGCCATTTTTCAGTGCTTCCCTGGCTTCGAGAGACGCTCACTCTGGGAATGAGGAATGGGCAGCTGGGAAAGCTGGGAGTGAAGGTGGTTGGTCACAACAGCAGCTCCCAGTGGATGGGGCTTGTGCTCTGGGTTTCACCGAGTGTCAGTCACCAGAGCTGCCCGCACAGCATGGCACAGAGGGCTCCCACTCAGAGATGGTTTGATAAGAGTCTGGGCAGGTTTTGAACTCCCCTTGCTGCAGGGATGTGTCTGCAGCAGCTTCCTGCATGTTTGAAACCTTGGCAGCCTCAGCTGAGGTACTGCACAGGTTATGTGTGATAGTGGTTTTGTGTGTGCCAAAGCCCCTTCCACAAGGACCTGATCTCTTGCTTCCCATTCAGGTGATAGGAAGGAGAGGCATGTGGCACTGATGGGCACACATCCCTCCCTGCCACCAG